ATGCGGGCGGCGGGCGGCTGAAGGAGGGGTGCGCGGCAGCCGGCAGGGCACGCTGCTATGGCGGGCGGCAGGCCGGAGGGGCTCGCTGCTGTAGCGGGCGGTGGTGGGTGGCCTTAGGGCCACGCCACGTAGGAGGCGAGGCGTAGGTGAGCAAGTCTTAAGCTCGAGCCGCCGGTGCTCCTCTCTTTCCCTCTTCTCTGCCGAAGCACCGTCGCGCCACTCGACGGCGAAATTCATCTCCGTTGTTCCATCTTGTACCAATTTCCCGTGCTCCCAGCTCTGCCTAGTTCTTGTGGTCCTCCTCGAACCACAGTAGCCACCTCTCACCGCCACAATCGCCTTTGGCGTCAGTTGCCGCCATGGCCGTGCCATCATGGCCGCCATGGGTAGCTCGCTGTGGCCAGCTCGTTCTGGCGCTCCTCTGGTGATCCCGTTTGTTATTTTAGCTCTCCTACAACTCTGTGATGCTCATCGGCTCAATTCTTTTACCTCTACCGCGCAGGTCATGGCGGAACGATGACCTCGCCACCAGTTCATGCCGCCGCACTCGCCATCACCACCGGCCATCTAGCTCCACCTCGTCCTCGGTTCAACCAAGCAACGCATCAACATCGCGGTGAGCTGCTGATGCTGCCTGAGCCCTTAGACTAACCTATACCGTGATGTATCTACCGGAGCACCGCCAAGCCACCGTTTCTGTGTCTCGCCATGAGGGAAGGTTAGCGGGCAGAGGGTGTGTTGGGGAGAAGCACATTACTCTAGAGAGAGATGCCTACGAACGAGCCCACTTTCTAGTGTTGCAGCACACAGCAAAGGTGGAACCTTACATCGAAGAGCATATGGAGATGTTGAGGCAACAAAACCCACACCGGGGCGAAGCTTGGTTAGCGAGGGCACATATGAGTGGGTTCAACATCTAGTTCAGAGGTCGACTTACCAATTCAACCTCTTGCATAGACGAAAGGCTTCGAAAGCTGGCAAAGGGGCCTTTCTTCACAGTCACAACCTATCAAGGCTATGACATAAATGGATATACCTTTTACACCATTGATCAAAACAAGAAGAGCGTGTACCAGAATAGTGCTGTTCATGTAGATGCATTTGAAAGCAAGATGCAAAAGATAGCGTACTATGGTCAGATTGAAGAGATATGGGAACTCTTGTATGCAGGCTTCAAGGTGCCCGTTTTTCGGTGTCGATGGGTTTAGGGAAGTCAGGGTGTCATGAAAGACAGGTATGGCTTCACTATGGTTGACCTCAACCAAGTTGGGTACAGGGACGAGCCATTTGTAGTAGCAAGTCAGGTTTCCCAAGTCCTCTATGTGCGCGACACTAGAAACAAGAAACGACAAGTGGTTCTCCCTGGGAAAAAATGGGTTGTCGGACTTGAAAATCCAGTGGACGAGGAAGAGTTCAATCAATCCAATGAAGTGCCTCCTTTGGATACTTCCATCCTCCCTGTGATTTTGGCGAGCGAGCTAACTCCATACCTAAGAGAAGGCCGTAAAGGGGTTTCCCCCGTGGCAAAAAGTCACCGAAAACTCTTCATATATTTGCTTGCTAAATTGTTTTTGTATGCTTCTTTATTCTAAGATGCCTGATTGTTGAAGCTAGGGCCAAAGATGTGCCTGTTCGCATTATGGATCTAGATCCAATGTCAATAAAGACTATGAACACTGATAGAGGCTATAGCGTAGATTATCTGGAATATTACCTAAGGAAATATGCCAAGAAAAAGTTTGTAATGTTTGCACATAACTGTGGTGGGCACTGGATTGGTGTCATCATTATTCGAATGTGCAGAAGGTGATATACCTCGACTCCAATAGAGGCAAGAAGTCAGATTTGACTCTTATCAAATCTATGATAGATGAGTGAGTATTGTCTAACCTATTATTGATCTATGTATTTCTTTCTTAATTATGTCAGTGGAAGTCAAAAAAATTTGATAACAGCTCATGTATGTGTAGTGCTTTTGGCAATTGCCAACCCAAGCCGAAGAAAGGGCATAGAAAATTGAAGTTGACCCATGCATTCAAAATTCCAGTAAGTAGTACGTGCTTCACTTACAGTTGTGAAGTCGTTTTGTCAATTCAATTATTAACCATGTGTTTCCTATGTTCGCAGTGCCAGCAGCAAGGTCTGGACCACACATGTGGGTAAGGATGAAAACGGTACGGAAATATCCTGTACCGAACCGCATCGTTTTCTACATTTAATCCGATCGAATTCGTATTTTTGGACAAATTCGAATTCGGTTCGAAATTCGAAACACCAAATTCGAAATCGGAATTAAAACGGTTTAGACATTTTTTGACATTTTTCTACTTTTCTACTTTTAATTCGGAATATCCCGAATTCAAAATTCGGTTTAAACCAAATTTGGCCCACTACAACTCCAACCTTAGAAAAATTATATCTTTTTCATACGATCTCGGATGAAGATGATTTTTATATAAAAATTGTAGCTCTCGATGAGATCTACAACTTTTTAGTACTTAGTTTTTTTATTTGATGTCTTGAAAATGTTAAAAAAAATTAAGCAAAGTCAGCGATATATTAATCGCGTACAAGCGCTTGTTGCCTTAAAAAATCATATCTTCCTTACATCGTGTCGAATGGAGATACTTTTTAAGAAATTTGTAGGACTTGTTAATTATTATATACTTGTTAATTGTTATGCACTTGGTCCTATGGGTCAATGTTCTGTATTGATTTTTCGTATACCGACCGTGTTCGATATAATTCTGCTCGAATTAGTTCGTTTTTGAATTTTTTGATATTCCGTAAGTTCGTGTTCGTTTTTGTGTCCAGCTTTACCGCTTTCGTTTTCGATTTCATATTCAAATGTAGAAGTAGAAAACGGTTGAGAGGTTTTCCGACCGTTTTCATCCCTACATGTGGGTTCTTTGCGGCCCACAACTTGATGCTGGCGATGGGACATGCCAATCTGACTGATCCTCAGGTACAACTGCAAATATATATGTATTTATTACTGCTCAGCTGCTGTGATCTACTTAGAATGCCTTGATCCTTTCTTGTTGTCATATATACTGCTGCTGTCAATTTTTGAAACTACTGCGGTGATCTGGAACAAGATGAAGCTGCTGTTGTGATATGTTGCTATGACCCTTTTGTAGACTATAGCTGGCTTATATACATTTACTTGTAATTTTTTTTTCTGCTGCTATATATATATATATATTGTCATCTCTTGTTGTGTAGCTTCATTTTATGGATGATGGCTATACACATGTGCAACTTCATCTTATAACTATCTTTCTTTGTCTTAGGATTTTGAAGTGCAGTCTACTAAAATCAACTTTGTGGACATTAGAGAGAAGCTCGCCTTGTTTATTGTGTCACAGATCCTCGACGAAACAGGTGAGTTTCATTGTTCACATACAAAACCATGATGAAGTGCCTGGTATATATGTTACATTTGATCTATGAACTGTGTTTGGAGCCTATGAGATAAATTGGAGCTGTGAGATATAAACATGTGACAATAACCTGGTGATAAACAATCGATCTGCTGTAAACTGTGTGTGATATGTGTGTACTTTGAACAAATTAAGTTTTGAGATGAACATATATGTCATTTCTGTGAGTATATATATATATATATATATATATATATATATATATATATATATATATGATCTGTGTATATCTGTGCTATTTGGGCTGTGCTGTAGGCTACAAGCGCGTCTGTAGTATTTTTCTTACTACAGGCGTGTCTGTAGTCTAGACCCGTCTATGGTAAGAAAAATACTACAGACGCGTGTAGAGAACACAAGTCTGTAGTATGCTACTTACTACAGATACTTTTACAAACATCGTCTGTAGTAGGATTCTTACTACAGACGCGTGTATTGTACACGCGTCGGCATTATGTTTGTTCGTACAGACGTGTTTACAAACATCGTCTGTAGTAGGATTCTTACTATAGACGTGTGTAAAGTACAAGCGTATGAGATATGGTTCTTCACACAGGCGTGTCTTAATCTTCTCGTGGATGCGTGTTGGGAACACGTGTCTCCAGTAAGAGCTTACTGTAGACGCGTGTAGATACTCACCGGTCTCTGTTAAGGACTCATCACATATGCGTGTTCGTTTTTGTTAGAGTCACGTGTTAGTAATACGCGTATGTAGTGTGTGCTTATTACCAGCGCGTTTATAATAAACTTTATTACAGATGCGTTATGGCTGTGATGTGCCTGAACGTGTGTGCGATGTGCTTTTTTTAGGTAGTGTAGGGACGTTCGCTATGTTAACAAGTGGAGGTCTCGGTGGGCACGACAGTGGACTGCTCTATAGTCTATGGCCTCCGCACTAATCGCACATGTGTTGTGGAGCCAGCCGAGAGCAGTGCAATCTATAGTGCCCACGCTGGGATGACGCGAGAGGAGTCGTCTGAGTCTGTGAGAGGACGTGATCCGACAGGCATACTTGCCCACGGCGAGGAGAAAGAGGCGCATGGCGCCATTTCGTGTAGTTGGGCACCGTGAGGTCGAGAGTGATGAGAGTGAGGGACCAAATGTTGACGATGGCCACTTCGTGTAGGTGGGCACGGTGAGGTCGAGAGTGACGGCAGTGAGGGACCAAATAGTGTTGACGATCGCCACGGCCTGGGTACGGTGTGGAGATTAGCAACAACAGCGGTTTCAGCAGCCAGCAGGGCGGTGTCGCGAGCCTCGTGCTCACGGTGCGCACTCTCTTTGGCGAGCGCCATGGTGTCGCGAACCTCAGCGGCGCGGAAACGCTCGAGATTGTGTTGCTCGTACTCGGTGAGCGCCATGGTGCCGAGTTGGTGCCGTGCCAACGGTGTGATGGTAAAGGAAGGTTTGGCTTGCGGAAGGCAAGGTCGCAGGATGCCAAGTGTGGAAAGATAGTATACACACGCAATAATTAATATTCCATGATCAATACGTAGCTGTGTACATACAAATCACGATCACTGGAATAAAGCAACAGACAGGAAATTGGTACTAGCTAAACTAGGTGGTTTGTTGCCATGGGAGCGTTGTGTGTCCAATAGCCGCCACATCATGCCTCCCTCTGCTCCACAGCCGCCTGAGAGAGCTCAGCCTCGCCAAGCCCTGCGCTTTGGCCGCGTCGCCTTCACGCAGCGGCGGCGGCGGCGCCACTGCCGGTGCCGTTTCCCTGACATGGATGATGACCAGCGGCGGCGACGCTCCACCGGGAGCAGCGCTCGGGCCGCCGTGTACCGTCGTCGTCCTCGTCCCGGAGGCTCTCGCCACGGTGACCGCGTCCTGGGATCCCCAGAACAGGACGTTCGTCGGCAGGTTCGTGGGGTAGTTGGCGGGCTCAGGCAGCGCCGGAGGGAGCGCCGAGGACGACGGCGGCGCAGGAAGCAGGCCGACGTCGACGCGGCAGAGCGGGCACGTGGAGTGGCCGCGCAGCCACAGGTCGATGCACTCGGCGTGGAAGCCGTGATCGCACCGGGGCAGGAACCTGGCGGCCTCGCCGTCGGTGAGCTCGGCGAGGCACACGGCGCACTCCAGCGCCTCGCCGCCTGCCCGGTCCTTCGCCTTGTAAACCGTCACCGGCAACGCCCGGAGCACCGACGGGTCAAGGCCGCCAGTGGCATGGCCTCGTCGTCCCAACGTGCCGCGCTGCTGGGCGCTCGATGGCGCCCCCACCCCCGCGCCGTCCCGCCGCGTGCCACCGCGGCGACTGAGGACCGTGACCGTGAAGTAGTGGTACAGGACGAACGCGAAGGCCAGGGCGACGAAGAGGAGGACTACGCCGGTGAGGACGACGTCGCCGCCCACCGGCGAGGCCGCGCTCCACCACGCGACCGGCGGGCCACTGCCGCCTGCGAGGACGTTCTCCGGCAACGCTGACATGGTCAGTCTCGCGCGCCTTGGATCGCCTTTCGGCCGGCGTGAGACTTATGTGCTGTCTGCTTGTGGCTGAGATTTTTGGGATGTTTATTGGCGTTCTTGGAGAGGTTTAGGTGCAGTGTGCGGCCGGTTGGAGTTGGTATGATGGCGTGGGTGGGGATCAGTGTGTTAATCTGAATTGAGCAGCTTGAGCTGATGCTGATGTAGGGGGCTTGTTAATTGTCAAGCAGGCTTTTGTACTTCTTGGACTCAAACCGAAGTGAGCGTGTTGTAAAAAAAAAAACGATGTCAGTGTGATACTTTGATTTGATCATGGAAGGGGCTAGAGACATCGGTGAGAGCAGAGCAACTCAGTAAAAACAGCCCTAGAAGGCTAGAATTTTGTGTGTGTGTGTGTGTGTGTGTGGAGTACTAGAAGGTTGTGTTGGAGGAGCTTCGAAAGCGAGAACAGAGAGGGAGAGGCCTCGAAGGTACTTGGATGGGCCAGAAGCCTAGAACGTTTGAGCTGAGTGGAAAAATGCAAAACATTTTTTCAATTTGTGCAGATTGCTGCTTCGTCAGATGTTCACAAAATGGTTACGAAACATGGTCAAATGACATATTTTTCAGGGAATCACAGTTTATTATGCAAATTACTACGGTATAAGAATAATAAAATATAAACACTGCGGATTGATAGATGGTGATCATACGGTTTCTCGTGATCTGTTTGGTCCTCACAAAGAGTTGGGCGTGGACATTTAGGCCTTGTTCATTTTGCCCCCAAAATTAATGTCCTGTTTATTTGGCTGATAAGCCATAGCTAAAAGTATTATTGGCTGATTTATTGTGAGAGAAAAATATTATTCATTGGCTGAAAAAGTACGCCTTATAAGCCAAGCGAACAGGACGTAAGAGGGTTGGTAGGGATTGAGGATTAAATCTCTTACAGGTTAATAAATCTCTTACATGTCAAAATCCTCCTCAATCCCATCCATCCCCCAATCCCATTGTTTAGGGAGACGAGCAAGGCCTTAGTCGGAAAAAAAATCACTTCCACCACTTTAAGATATTATCATGGTGTGAATTTTTTCACGGTCTCTAAAACCGAACACTTGACATAATAAACGCTCAAAACCGTTCATCCTACCTTCGTGTTTAGTTAGAGGTGGTTTCATCCCTTAATTAGTTTATAAGGTTTTTAGACCACAAAAAATATATCTTAACTTCTAAAAATTCAAAGAAAAACTATAGAGATAGATTGGAACACAAGGGCCTTAAAAATAAAATACACAGAGCTCGTGAAAGTATCTTTAAAAGCTTCCACAAATTATATTTAGATCTAAAAAAGGGAAAATATCCAATAAAATATGGAAAATTCTCAAAACAACTAACTCGATGTCAAAACATGTTTTTGAAAGCTTTCCATAACAAAAACATCATATACAACCAGCATGATACATTTAGCATTAAATTTAATGTTGCATTCTTGCTGCTTCATCTCATAATTTTGGTGCAAAAAGTTTCTATAATGTATTTAGACATCAATTGAATGTTTTGGGAATTTTTTAGATTTTTGGACATTTTCCAATTTTCCTAGAGCTTAATCTTAATTTCAAAAACTTCTAGAAATATTTTCACAAGCTCTAAATAATTTCTTTGGATTTTTCAACTCCTTATATAGCTCTAAGATTTTTATAAAAAAATTTAGAACCTTAGTGAAATTTTTCATGGTATAAAAACATTATTAAGTATTTACCAGTTTTTGAGCTAAAAATGGATGAAACTGTATTTAAAATCAATCCTAATCCATACATGGTTAATTTAGTAGGTTTTGAAAGTTGAGGAGGTAAGCAGCCTATTCGGCTGGGCTTATACGATCGTATATGATCATGGATTATAAGCTGCAACAGTATTTTTCTCTCACACCAAACCAGTCAAACCAACCAGTAGTAAATAATCCACGATCGTTTCAGTCGAAACGAACAGGCTGAGGACATCTGGTTTAGAGTTTGAGGAGGATAGTCAGACAGCTGCAATACCTTTTTTTTTTAACTTATAGACAACTTTAATACTAGTTTAGATAGTAGAGAGATAAAATGACTTTCGTTTTCCTATTATTACGAGTGGCAGATCCAATTAGGCCTTATATGGCCAGGCCCAATTGCTTGTCCCTATCATGGGCCTCTTATCGGATCTACTGAGCAGGCCCTTGGAAAGTCCTGGTTGGAAGTGTGAGTATGAAAGAATAATATCGGTCCCTACCATCACTGTATATATATCTCCTACAATCTCATCATCTTCTATAACTAAAAAGAATAAAGTGTGAATATTTTTTGGTGCGACATTTGTTTTGGTTCGTCCGTCCGCCCACGCCTGCGATCCCCGCCTGCTTTGAAGAAAACAAATCGATCACCTGAGGCCACATGCATGGAAGGAAACAATAATCATGCACCGCGCGATAGAAAAAGAAACTGTCATCCCTACGATCCTCGCCTGCTTTGAAGGAAACAAATCGATCACATGAGGCCACATGCATAGAAGAAAACAATAATCATGTATGGAAGGAAACAATCATGCGGTGCCTCTCTCTCGCTCGGTTAGATATCTTTCATCTCCACGTAAACCGGATCATATGGTATTGTCCATAATTTAGAGGGTATTAAATTTAGGCTAGGTGCATAGTAGGCCACCTAGCTTTATTCTTGCAACTTCTACCTCTTTATGTGTTAGTCTTTGTCAATGGTATAATTTGTTCGTAAAGCTCAAGTAAGACAGTTGGCAAAGATCAAGCAAGACAACTCAATGAGGTTGGCCCTTAATTTTAGTGTTTCCAACATGCAGACCTGAAATTAAAAAGTGGCTGCTCCTTAAGAACATCAGTGGTGCCAAATAAAAGATGTGCATATTATACATGGTGAGGCTGGTAAAGCTTCTGCAATTTTCTAAACGAATATTCCCACAATTAGTATATAGGTCCATTCCCCTACGTTTTTTCGTGCTCCCATTAGTGTATAATATGAAAGTATTGTTGTGTTTATCACGACTTCCAGTTGACTACTCCCATTAGCATATACTTCCTCTGCCCTAAAATATAAGTCGTTGTGGGATGCGTGCAGGTCAAACTTTCTCAACTTTGACTAGGTTTGTAAAAAATACGTGCAACATTTATATCTCCAAATAAGTTTATTATGAAAATATATTCAATGGTCTATGTAATGATACTAATTATGTATTATAAATATTAATATTCTTTTATATATAATTGGTCGAAGTTAAAAAAAGTTGACTTCTCGCGAAGCGAGAATGAATTCTATTTTGGGACAGAGGGAGTATATGAAAGCAGTGTTGAAAATATTTTAACAATCAAGTTCGTCTCTATCTGATTGGTAAGCTTAGACATCATAATGGCATCAAAAATTTCGACTCTCATGGACACCCTCATGGATCAGCGCAAAGCATTCTAATCCTACAGCATACACAAATGGCAACCTTAAAGTTATGATATTTTCAAATGGTGGATAATAAAGACCATCTTCGACGTTCTGGCATTAGAGTATATACGTGCAGGCACATAGGCATGGTGGTGCAAGTGAGCAGCCAGTAGGAGTCGAGAGTTAGGAGGTGTTTGGATTCCAGGACTAAACTTTAGTCCCTGTCACATTGAATTTTTAGATATCAATTAGGAGGACTAAACATGAGCTAATTATAAATCTAATTACATAAGTTGTGGCTAATTCGCTTGCCAGCGCCATGTACATGATGGTATGGAGATGTGGTGGAACTTATTCGTGGATTTGTTGGCGCATGAAAGAAATAGACATCGTAGAATTCTTTTTGCCGATATAAAATATTATCTTAGCCGTATCACGAAAAAGTCTATATAGTAGAGTTTGTGAGCCTGCGACGTCGCGCTCTTCGTGACTGTGTTAATTTCATGAACTTTGCTTTTTGAATTAAATGTCACTTTGACGTCGGTATTTAATTTAACATTATTGTTATCTTATCGTGCGATCCATGTGTTTTTAGTACAAAAGATTTAGTTGTCCCGTAGCAACGCACGGACACACTATCTAGTACAACTAAAAAGAACAAAACTAAGACAATTGAATGGTGCGACAATTTTTAGATCGTCGCTCGCCCCCCCCCTCCCGTGCGATCCCACGACACTTCCCAACATGCGCCGGCAGGTGGAAGGGTGGGAAAAGAAATAAAGAATAAGAAAGGATTCTGGGTGCAAATATACAAAAGAGAAATAATATATAAAAATAATTAGGATAATTTAGAAATAGTACAGGATTCCTGACGTTAAATTGTAAGACCTAAACCCAAACGCCGCATATCACGCATGTGATCCGTGGCGTCGCCTCTTATTTGGCTCGCCCGCGCATGCATGGACCCGGCTCGTGCGGTGTCTCCCATCCCGTGCGACGATCCTGGCTACACTGATCCCTAATTTGCATGATCCTAAATTACCGGTGATTTCGTTCACCTCCCTTTCGGATTGTCTCTTGCCTTTCACCGATCATGTTGATTTCCTTTTACCTCCCCTTTCCAATTATCTCTTTTCTTCCATCGATCACGGGACGATAGTCCTCGACATCGCACATCGCGCTCTCTCTCGCCCGCCCACCCGCTGTCTATCGCGGTTGCCCATCAAACTCGCTCCTCCGTCACACGGCAAGTCGTCCACGGCGCGCATGACTGCTTCGCCGAGCCGAGGGTGCCCCACTATGGCGTGACGCACAACAACCGCACCGCCCTGAGCTAGACGGGAGAGAAGACGCCGAGACGCCATGCGATCCGGCAGCGTCGTCCGACGTGAGATCGCCCTTGAGGCGGCCTCCACGGCCACGACGACCACACCAGACGCGGGGAGGCCACCGAGGCGAAGCAAAGGGGGGCAGACACCCAAGCGACGCGAGGGTTGAAGCGTGGTCGTACGTCCTGCTGAACCCCCTTGGCGGCTGCCACGGCACGAGTGGTACGGCAGCCGGCGTCCGGCCGTGCCGTTCAAAATTTTG